TGTTGTATAGTTCCATGGTTAGTGTTGTATAGTTCCATGGTTAGTGTTGTATAGTTCCATGGTTAGTGTTGTATAGTTCCATGGTTAGTGTTGTGTTGTATAGTTCCATGGTTAGTGTTGTATAGTTCCATGGTTAGTGTTGTATAGTTCCATGGTTAGTGTTGTATAGTTCCATGGTTAGTGTTGTATTGTATAGTTCCATGGTTAGTGTTGTATAGTTCTATGGTTAGTGTTGTATAGTTCCATGGTTAGTGTTGTATAGTTCTATGGTTAGTGTTGTATAGTTCCATGGTTAGTGTTGTATAGTTCCATGGTTAGTGTTGTATTGTATAGTTCCATGGTTAGTGTTGTATAGTTCTATGGTTAGTGTTGTATAGTTCCATGGTTAGTGTTGTATAGTTCCATGGTTAGTGTTGTATTGTATAGTTCCATGGTTAGTGTTGTATTGTATAGTTCCATGGTTAGTGTTGTATAGTTCCATGGTTAGTGTTGTGTTGTATAGTTCCATGGTTAGTGTTGTATAGTTCCATGGTTAGTGTTGTATAGTTCCATGGTTAGTGTTGTATTGTATAGTTCCATGGTTAGTGTTGTATAGTTCCATGGTTAGTGTTGTATAGTTCCATGGTTAGTGTTGTATTGTATAGTTCCATGGTTAGTGTTGTATAGTTCCATGGTTAGTGTTGTGTTGTATAGTTCCATGGTTAGTGTTGTATAGTTCCATGGTTAGTGTTGTGTTGTATAGTTCCATGGTTAGTGTTGTATAGTTCCATGGTTAGTGTTGTGTTGTATAGTTCCATGGTTAGTGTTGTATAGTTCCATGTTTAGTGTTGTATAGTTCCATGGTTAGTGTTGTATAGTTCCATGGTTAGTGTTGTATAGTTCCATGGTTAGTGTTGTATAGTTCCATGGTTAGTGTTGTATAGTTCCATGGTTAGTGTTGTATTGTATAGTTCCATGGTTAGTGTTGTATAGTTCCATGGTTAGTGTTGTATTGTATAGTTCCATGGTTAGTGTTGTATAGTTCCATGGTTAGTGTTGTGTTGTATAGTTCCATGGTTAGTGTTGTATAGTTCCATGGTTAGTGTTGTATAGTTCCATGGTTAGTGTTGTATAGTTCCATGGTTAGTGTTGTATAGTTCCATGGTTAGTGTTGTGTTGTATAGTTCCATGGTTAGTGTTGTATAGTTCCATGGTTAGTGTTGTATAGTTCCATGGTTAGTGTTGTATAGTTCCATGGTTAGTGTTGTATAGTTCCATGGTTAGTGTTGTATAGTTCCATGGTTAGTGTTGTATAGTTCCATGGTTAGTGTTGTGTTGTATAGTTCCATGGTTAGTGTTGTATAGTTCCATGGTTAGTGTTGTATAGTTCCATGGTTAGTGTTGTGTTGTATAGTTCCATGGTTAGTGTTGTATAGTTCCATGGTTAGTGTTGTATAGTTCCATGGTTAGTGTTGTGTTGTATAGTTCCATGGTTAGTGTTGTATAGTTCCATGGTTAGTGTTGTATAGTTCCATGGTTAGTGTTGTGTTGTATAGTTCCATGGTTAGTGTTGTATAGTTCCATGGTTAGTGTTGTGTTGTATAGTTCCATGGTTAGTGTTGTATAGTTCCATGGTTAGTGTTGTGTTGTATAGTTCCATGTTAGTGTTGTGTTGTATAGTTCCATGTTAGTGTTGTGTTGTATAGTTCCATGGTTAGTGTTGTATTGTATAGTTCCATGGTTAGTGTTGTGTTGTATAGTTCCATGGTTAGTGTTGTATAGTTCCATGGTTAGTGTTGTATAGTTCCATGGTTAGTGTTGTATAGTTCCATGGTTAGTGTTGTATAGTTCCATGGTATTGTATAGTTCCATGGTTAGTGTTGTATAGTTCCATGGTTAGTGTTGTATAGTTCCATGGTTAGTGTTGTGTTGTATAGTTCCATGGTTAGTGTTGTATAGTTCCATGGTTAGTGTTGTATAGTTCCATGGTTAGTGTTGTGTTGTATAGTTCCATGGTTAGTGTTGTATAGTTCCATGGTTAGTGTTGTGTTGTATAGTTCCATGGTTAGTGTTGTATAGTTCCATGGTTAGTGTTGTATAGTTCCATGGTTAGTGTTGTATAGTTCCATGGTTAGTGTTGTATTGTATAGTTCCATGGTTAGTGTTGTGTTGTATAGTTCCATGGTTAGTGTTGTATAGTTCCATGGTTAGTGTTGTATAGTTCCATGGTTAGTGTTGTATTGTATAGTTCCATGGTTAGTGTTGTATAGTTCCATGGTTAGTGTTGTATAGTTCCATGGTTAGTGTTGTATTGTATAGTTCCATGGTTAGTGTTGTATAGTTCCATGGTTAGTGTTGTATAGTTCCATGGTTAGTGTTGTATTGTATAGTTCCATGGTTAGTGTTGTGTTGTATAGTTCCATGGTTAGTGTTGTATAGTTCCATGGTTAGTGTTGTGTTGTATAGTTCCATGGTTAGTGTTGTATAGTTCCATGGTTAGTGTTGTATTGTATAGTTCCATGGTTAGTGTTGTGTTGTATAGTTCCATGGTTAGTGTTGTGTTGTATAGTTCCATGGTTAGTGTTGTATAGTTCCATGGTTAGTGTTGTGTTGTATAGTTCCATGGTTAGTGTTGTATAGTTCCATGGTTAGTGTTGTATAGTTCCATGGTTAGTGTTGTATTGTATAGTTCCATGGTTAGTGTTGTATAGTTCCATGGTTAGTGTTGTATTGTATAGTTCCATGGTTAGTGTTGTGTTGTATAGTTCCATGGTTAGTGTTGTATAGTTCCATGGTTAGTGTTGTGTTGTATAGTTCCATGGTTAGTGTTGTATAGTTCCATGGTTATGTTGTATAGTTCCATGGTTAGTGTTGTATAGTTCCATGGTTAGTGTTGTATAGTTCCATGGTTAGTGTTGTATGTTGTGTTGTAGTTCCATGGTTAGTGTTGTTGTATAGTTCCATGGTTAGTGTTGTATAGTTCCATGGTTAGTGTTGTATAGTTCCATGGTTAGTGTTGTATAGTTCCATGGTTAGTGTTGTATTGTATAGTTCCATGGTTAGTGTTGTATAGTTCCATGGTTAGTGTTGTGTTGTATAGTTCCATGGTTAGTGTTGTATAGTTCCATGTTTAGTGTTGTATAGTTCCATGGTTAGTGTTGCACCATGTGGTGGTGTGCTGTGATAGATGCAGTTTTTTGTCTACCACAGACGTAGCCACACATTTACAATGCTAACCAGCATATATACATTTTCTTCTGTCCTCCATGGACAGGGTAAGAGCTTTGTTAAACATATTGTTCAGTGATTTATTGAACAATCACCCATAGAAAGTTATTGTAGGCGCAGTGAGAGAGAGGTGAGTTGATCATTATTGTGTGATCACTCAGGGATCGTATTGATCAGTGAGTGCTAGGCGACTGACCGACTTTTGATAATTATTGTTTATTAATATTAACATGGTCATGTAGTTGGCTCTCAGTGTTAACATAATTTTAAGCTGGAAGGTTTTTTAATGACTATTGATTTCCTTTTGTATTAATTATCAACTGTCTTGGCTCGTATGATCAATAATTATTGTGAAGGAGTTAGTGTGGTCAGCGGGAGGTGAGAGAGATGTGTCTCGTTGCTACTGACAACACCTTATTGATCACTAACATGGGACTCCTAAACCAGTTCCGTCCAAGTGGTTGGACACCATTCCTTTCCCCCGTCCCATCCCAAATATTTATCCTGACCCCTTTCAGGTGCTATATATATAGTCATAATGGCTTGGCGCTTTCTCCTGATAGTTCCCTTCCTAAGCCAGTTTCCGAGGAAGTGAACGGAGTAATTAACGAGGGTCGAGCGGCGTCTTAACGACCACAACTGCCCGATGAACCAAGACGATCCAGGAGACGTTTCGTCAGGGTCGAAACTCCCCTACTGAGAGGCGCCTCCAAGCCTTACAATAAGAGACAGTGGTTACATCAGTGTTGAGGTGAGCGGTGGTGGTGTTCTGTGGCAGCGTTGACAAGATGGCGCCTCGCAGGGGCCCCACACACACACAGGCTGGTGGATCAGGCACGGGGAGAGAGCCACAGTGTCTCCATATTACAAGGCGGTTCTGTCTCCTTCAGCTCGTTCATCCCTACAGCAGTTGGGTCATTGTCAGGCAGTTGACACTTGTTAGCAGTTGGGTCAGATGGCTTTTGGTAATTTGTAGTTCAAAGTAGTTTATGTACATTGGTGTCCTTCATGTGTATGGAAGCGTATACATGATGTTCTTCCTGTGTATGGAAGCGTATACATGGTGTCCTTCCTGTGTATGGAAGCGTATACATGGTGTCCTTCCTGTGTATGGAAGCGTATAAATGGTGTTCTTCCTGTGTATGGAAGCGTATACATGGTGTCCTTCCTGTGTATGGAAGCGTATACATGGTGTTCTTCCTGTGTATGGAAGCATATACAAGGTGTATTTCCTGTATATGGAAGTGTATATAACTCAAGGAAAACATTGAAATGCAGCATCCATATTATTATTATATGCAAGACTTACTGTAATTGGTCACTATGGGAGGTAATATCGCCAAGAAGTGCATACAGTGAAAAGATTTATTTCGATAACTTTATTATTGTAATCCATATGACAATCAGAGAAGTCATCTATACAATACTGTCTCACAGGAAATGTAAGATATAACAGGAGATAATGCAGTCATCAGACCACTAATTATCAACATTGTTATTAGCGTAGGCATCTGAAAATACAATATATAAATAAAAGTACAATTTATCTCTATGATGTCATGTAATGGGGAGTTATATTTACAGCATTTAACTGTTTTGCAATTGATGGGATGAGGATTAGTTGAGTTGTCAAGGTAATACTGTTGCAGTGTAGTCACCCCTGCAGGAGGACGCCCATAGGGACTCTTCCCTCTCTTAGGACCACCTCTAGTGGCTCTAGCATTAGTCTGGCCGAGAGTCTCAACTATCTAGATATACGTAAACAGCAACAGAACAAACTAAATCAATCGTGTGTGAAAGAAAGACCACTTAATAAAAATATTCTTTATTACTAGCTGGACATTGCCAGCCATCCATGAGTAACATCAGAGAGAGGAGGTCTCAGAGCTCACCCCCTAGGCCTATTTCACACCATCTAAATAAGGAGAACACCTCATATCTTGCAGCTATTGTTTCTTGCTATACATTTCTTGCAATCTATAAGAGAAAGGAGGTAAAAAGTGGGCACTATTCTTTCTCAGGGATAAAATAGCAAGTGTGCGATGTGTGATACAGTTAGTAACTCTACTTAAAGTAATATATAAGACAATAATCAGTCTCACTCAGAGAGGAGGCAAACACAGGGGCTGAGGAGGGTTCACAAGGGCCCAGGATGGAGGCTTCCTCGGGCACTAGTTCACTCGACATTGCGTCGGACGAAGCCGAAACCAGAGCGGTCAATCTCGTCAAAATTCCTCTTGTCGGGGAACACATCATAATCTCGCTTGTGGAAGCCGAATCCAGTGCGGTCGATCTCATCAAAGTTACGCTTGTTGAAGCCAAAGCCAGATCGGTCGATCTCGTCGAAGTTGCGCTTATAAAGGTTAGCGATGTACCTGGGAACGTAGACTCTCTTCACGAAGCCGAAGCCAGAGCGGTCAATTTCGTCGAAGTTACGCTTGTTGAAGCCAAAGCCAGATCGGTCGATCTCATCAAAGTTACGCTTGTTGAAGCCAAAGCCAGATCGGTCGATCTCATCGAAGTTCCTCTTGTTGAAGCCAAAGCCAGATCGGTCGATCTCATCGAAGTTCCTCTTGTTGAAGCCAAACCCAGATCGGTCGATCTCATCAAAGTTCCTCTTGTTGAAGCCAAAGCCAGATCGGTCGATCTCATCAAAGTTCCTCTTGTTGAAGCCAAAGCCAGATCGGTCGATCTCATCGAAATTCCTTTTGTTGAAGCCAAATCCTGAGCGATCGATTTCGTCAAAATTCTTCTTAGCAAAGCCAAATCCGGAGCGGTCGATCTCATCAAAGTTGCGTTTGCTGTGGCCAAAGCCGGTCCTGGAAGGAGAGAGGAAGAGATGAGAAACCATCGATATCCATACAGCTATCTCATCATACAATACACCAAAGTAATTATGTCAAAATAGAAACATTAGACTGTAACAATTTATTTTTCCTGGGTAGTGTTATTTACTATTCAGTTGTGTCTCCAAAGTATAGAATCTAGGTATTTTTTTCCCCCCTCCCTTTCTAGACCGTTGTCGTCGAGAGGGAGCTTAGTGATGCCGGGTGTGATGCTCCATGGGACGGTTCTCTGTCCTTTTGTGGCCTTATGCTCCTGCTGCCACCTTCACTAATTGTGCTGTTTACTGTTTCCTCTTCCTTATGTTTCGTCACTACCCCCCCCCCCCCCCTTCTTCTCCTTTCTCTTTGTCTTTCCCACCTTTTTTTTTGTCTTGATTATTCTTTCGGACTTCTTCTGTTTTGACACCCGGGTGTTTGGGGAGGTACATTCTCTTAAGGTGTCCAGAACTGTGGTGCCCAACGTCGCGAGCGAGGGGACACTTTTATTGTCAGCCCTCCTTGCGGTGCTGAACCCGATCTCGACGGACTGACGATTCTTAAGGTGGCGATTGTAAGGCATATACTCATGATACACCCCCTGGGGGCCCAAGCCTGTCTCTTGTTGGGCGTCCTATCCTCTAATTGCAGATCCATGGTGGGTATGGGGGCTCATTCGTGAATGAACGTATTACCTCCATGTTTCAATGCCACTGAATGACCCTCTTGTAACTTCTCAGGCTCGTGGGGGTGGACGACCAAGCCCCCGAGTCGGACTGTGTTGGATGACCGGGCTCCTTAGCCCCCGCTACATTGGGCTCAGACCATGCTACTCCTTAAACCCTTCTGACTACTCCCTCCCCCCCCCCCCCTGCTCCTCTCCCTCCTCTGTGGTAGGGTTGGGTCCCATGCCCCTTGTGGTGACCACGTCACCACGTAATAAACTGCACCTTTTACCCCCCCCCCCTCTTACTGGGGTGATTGGGGCCGACTCCCCCACAGACGCCCTCGCACGATCCCTTCCAGTGCTACTATGTTCAACACCTTGTTTGGTCCTGCTACAGGGACTAAATACTTTGACCTCACCCATATGGGTTCTACTCTTCCTGACGATTTCTTCCTCCATAAACACCTTGTTGATTCGGTGGATGCCTCTGTTACTTTTAACTCCACCTGATTAGGTACACGTGTTGTTGCTGCTCCTCCTCAGGAAGCAGCTGCCTGCTTAGCCGTATTGTCCGACAACTTGAGTTGCCGACCCTGTTAGGATCTCCAAAATTGCCCAGTTAAATGCCAGTAATGGCACAGTTATCCTCCCTGCACCATGTTGTGACTGGTGTTCGGGACCTGAAAGACTGCCACGAGGATATTAAACATATCCTTGAAGGCCAAGGCCATTCTGTCCTCCAGGATGATATGTTCACACGACTCTCTCGTGGTCGTCGACGTCAGCCGCTTCGAGTTGTGAAAATCTCTTTTTATGGCAGGACTCTTCCGTCTTTTATCATTCTTGCTGGTGCCAAATGCTCCATTCAGGAGTACATTCCCTCTCCTATACTCTGCAATAAGTGCTGGAAATTTGGGCATGGTGCCCTCAGATGCACAAGTGTGGTGTCTCTATGCCCCATGTGTGGGGACTCGGGTCACTCTAAGGCTGAGTGCTCTTCTCCCCAAGCTCAATGCCTTAATTGTGGTGACGCCCAACCTACCTTCTCCCCCAAGTGTATACACTACAAATTTGAGGAATCCATCCTCAATTTGAGGCACTGTGCTCATTTGTCTTTTCCTGAGGCAAAGCGCCAAGTCTGCTGTGACTCATCTTTCATTAACGTATCTTATGCTTGTGTTCTGAGTTCCACCACTCCTCGACCTTCCCTCCTTTCTCAGTCTCACAACCGTTTCCAGGCCTTAGACCCAGATACGCCCACCACCACTTCACCTGCTCCCTTCCGTTCTGAACCACGAGGTCGTTCTGGTTCTCCATCTGGTGTTTCCCTCCTTCCTTCCCAGTCTGCCGTGTCTCCTGTGGTTATAGTTGACTCTCGTAGTGCCCTCATGACTCTGGAGCCCTTTAATCCAATCCATACGTTAGTAGTCGAGATTCAACATTGGCTGTTTCTTATCTCCAGTAGATTTAAGACAGTGGAGTTTTGCTGGGTTCCCAGTCATATTGGTGTGTCCCTAAACGAACGTGCGGATGATGCCGCTATCGAAGCTCTCCGTACTTGTTCCATCTCTCGTAAAAGTATTCCTTATTCTGACTTTTACCCAGTTATTCATGCTTCCATCCTTACCCGTTGGCAGGGTTGTTACTCTTCTGTCCTGGTAACAAACTGCGTGCTCTTTAGAGTAGTGTGTCCCTATGGCTTTCCTCCTACCATCGTAACCAGCGATGGAAAATGGCTCTGGCAAGGTTGCGTATTGGCCATACACGCCTAACTCACGGGCACCTAATGGAGCGCCACCCTACTCTGTATTGTCCAAACCGCATTGTCCCTCTTACAGTCGTGCATATCTTTACTGAATGTTCTGACTTTCAGGACGAACGTGTATCTTGCTTCCGGACCGTCCCTCGCGGTCACTTGTCCCTCGATAGAGTTCTTAGTGAATCGGATACTTTTGATATCGTTCGCTTTATGCGTTTCTGTTCTCATATTGGCATCCTTGGTGATATTTAGCGCCCTCTGATTATTCTGCACATTTGATGATGCTACACAGCCTTCCCGGCTTGGTGCCTTCTTTTGATAATTACTTACTAGGTATTATTTTACTTAAACTTTATTATTTTGTAAAGGACAGTCATATTTTGGAATTAACTTATTCTCCAGAACATTCCAGATTGAGTGCTGAGTGAAGTAACTCCATAACTGAGTGATTGAGTATCTTCATAATGGGAGCAAGTACAGGCCTCGTTCTCTGGGTTACTCGGGCCACCTCGCGGAGGATTACCACCATCCACACACCCTGCGGGACGCCTTGAAGTATAAGCAGCTGGGCTGGGAGGTCATCGCAGACTACAGAATGGTGGCATCTCTGATGAGTTTCCAAACATTCCCTGATATATTTGCTTTCGCAACGCTTATAAAAAGACACAAATTCACCCTTGGGTAAATTTGGTTGTCTTTTCATTATTGAAAATGAAAAATAAATGTTTTCATTGGAAATAACAAATAGATTTTCTCGATGGAAAGGGGTAAAGTTCAATATTTGTCAAGGTAACAAAAGCTAAGTTTAGGAGAATAATAGTTAATTTCTATGGATTTTAAGCATTATCAATTAGGGAATGACATTCACTACCAATGGGGGCCTTGTAGCCTGGTGGATAGCGCGCAGGACTCGTAATTCTGTGGCGCGGGTTCGATTCCCGCACGAGGCAGAAACAAATGGGCAAAGTTCTTTCACCCTAAATGTCCCTGTTACCTAGCAGTAAATAGGTACCTGGGAGTTAGTCAGCTGTCACGGGCTGCTTCCTGGGGGTGGAGGCCTGGTCGAGGACCGGGCCGCGGGGACACTAAAGCCCCGAAATCATCTCAAGATAACCTCAAGATAACCCAGGAACGGAAATAATGTTACAATGTGTAATCATCGCGACAGTTAACACCACCACCTCCCCCACACACCACTTCCCGCCCCCCCATGCCACCTGCGTCTCTCTGTACCTCTGGGAGGCCCCAGGTTACTGCAGGTGTAGGGGGGTACCGGGTGGTACTGGTGTAGGGGGTACCGGGGTGGTACTGGTGTAGGGGGTACCGGGTATACTGGTGTAGGGGGTACCGGGGTGGTACTGGTGTGAGAGTACCGGGGTGGTACTGGTGTGAGAGTACCGGGGTGGTACTGGTGTGAGAGTACCGGGGTGGTACTGGTGTGAGAGTACCGGGGTGGTACTGGTGTGAGAGTACCGGGTGGTAATAACCAGTACCCCGGTATAATTACTCACGTAAAAGCGTCGAAGCGTTTCACTGGAGCTCCGTCTGTAACAGAGGAGAAGAGTATTAATTTATATTATTAAATGTTATTACAAGTGAATAATAATAATAATAATAATAATAATAATTGTTGACCAACCCTCAGATTAGAAAGCGAAGAGACGACAGAGGCGTTCCGGTGGTCCGTGCTGGACCATTATCAAGTCCATTGTATTGAAACGAGGTTGTTATTGATGTTTTAGATCTAACTACTCAGAACGAAGTGTCCATGTAGCACGGGCTATGGTGAGCCCGTAAACATGAAACGAGGGAGGCAAGAGCAATAAATAGGAAAGAGAGAGGTGAGGAGAAGGAAATCTTAGAGGAAGATAAGAGCAAGACAGAAAGCTACGGGAAGATAAGGTGTAATAAAGAGAGTAATAATAGAAATAAGAAAGGAGTCTTAAGAGAAAACAAGAGAAAGAAAAAGAAAGATAAAAGGAAGGGTAGGCTTATCCCGCCAAACACACACCGAAACTACGACGTTGGTACAACGTTCGAACAAGTTTTAACACCTAACCAGTTATAACAACCAATATAGCAAGTTGTAACAACGTTCTAATACGTCATAACACGTTAAGCCAAGATGTAACAACTTTATTACAAGTTGTAACAAGCGGAAAATAGAGACAGTTTCGGTTTGTGTTTCCATCAGGGATGTTAGGTCACGTTTGTTCGAAAGTTAAGAACATTTGAGTATATACTGTGAAAGGGTATATACTGGCTATATACCAGTATATATAAGCCAGTATATGAGTATATACTGTGAAAGGGTATATACTGGCTATATACCAGTATATATAAGCCAGTATATGAGTATATACTGGCTTTGTTGCTGTGTCCACAGCAACAAAGCCAGGACTCAAGTTCATGTTGGGTACATTGTGTATAAGAGCCGATTCAAGGCGACGGCGTCCAACCCGTTCTCGCAAATTTAATAAGTCAATATTGACTTATTAGTTGCGTGCATAGGTGACATACTTAACATAATAGTTTCCCTTGAAAAGCTTCATAGAAAACACCGACCTTACCTAACCTACTTAGTATGTTAAAATAAGCATCTTATTGCTTCGTAATTACAATTGTTACTTAACCTATTATAGGTATAGGTTAGGTAATAATTGTAATTACGAAGCAATAAGATGCTTATCTTAACATACTAAGTAGGTTAGGTAAGGTCGGTGTTTTCTATGAAGCTTTTCAAGGGAAACTATTATGTTAAGTATGTCACCTATGCACATATTTAATAAGTCAATATTGACTTATTAAATTTGCGAAAACGGGTTGGACGGCGTCTGAGGAGAGTAGAGGCAGGAAAGATTATTTTAGAGGAAGACCAATCAATAGGATGATTAGCGTCCCTAACATGACGGAAGAGAACATTGTTAGTGTCTGCACACCTATCAGTTCTTTTGTGTTCTTTAAGTCTGTCATAAAGTGTACGGTTATCTTGAGGTGCTTCCGGGGCTTAGCGTCCCAGCGGCCCGGTCGTCGACCAGGAGGCCTGGTCGATGTTGTCACATATATGTTACCGTATATGTGACACTGTCACATATACGGTAAGTATATATATAACAACAAGAGAGGGGTGTAACACCAGGGTAATCCACAACCTCCGTCATCACAACACTTCACAATTTCCATGATACAATTCCTAATTAAGTTTTCCATAAAAAAATTTAATGTTATTTATGACTTTATTTTTCTATTTTGTTATTCCGTGTTTGTGCGTGTTTAATTATTGTGATGTTTGTTGAGTTTAGTAAGGCAGGTGTGACGCTGCCACACCTGTGACGCCGTCACACCTGTGCCGCTGCCACACCTGCGACGCTGTCACACATGGTTGGTGTTACACCTGTGACGTTGTCACACCTGGCTGGTGTCACACCTGTGACGCTGTCACACCTGGCTGGTGTCACACCTGGCTGGTGTCACACCTGTGACCCTGTCACACGAGCCACGAACCACACGTTCTGGGGTCTGGTAGCTGAGTGAACAGCGCACAGGACTCGTAATCCTAGGGGGGGTTGTGTGGTCCACCATTGGGCCACAACCATGGTCCACCAGGGGGCCACAACCATGGTCCACCAGGGGGCCACAACCATGGTCCATCAGGGGGCCACAACCATGGTCCACCAGGGGGCCACAACCATGGTCCACCAGGGGGCCACAACCATGGTCCACCAGGGGGCCACAACCATGGTCCACCAGGGGGCCACAACCATGGTCCACCAGGGGGCCACAACCATGGTCCACCAGGGGGCCACAACCATGGTCCACCAGGGGGCCACAACCATGGTCCACCAGGGGGCCACAACCATGGTCCACCAGGGGGCCACAACCATGGTCCACCAGGGGACCACAATCATGGTCCACCAGGGGGCCACAACTATGGTCCACCAGGGGGCCACAACCATGGTCCACCAGGGGACCACAACCATGGTCCACCAGGGGGCCACAACCATGGTCCACCAGGGGGCCACAACCATGGTCCACCAGGGGACCACAACCATGGTCCACCAGGAGGCCACAACCATGGTCCACCAGGGGACTACAACCATGGTCCACCAGGGGGCCACAACCATGGTCCACCAGGGGACCACAACCATGGTCCACCAGGGGGCCACAACCATGGTCCACCAGGGGGCCACAACCATGGTCCACCAGGGGGCCACAACCAACCATGGTCCACCAGGGGGCCACAACCATGGTCCACCAGGGGGCCACAACCATGGTCCACCAGGGGGCCACAACCATGGTCCACCAGGGGGCCACAACCATGGTCCACCAGGGGGCCACAACCATGGTCCACCAGGGGGCCACAACCATGGCCCACCAGGGGGCCACAACAACCATGGTCCACCAGGGGGCCACAACCATGGTCCACCAGGGGGCCACAACCATGGCCCACCAGGGGGCCACAACAACCATGGTCCAACTGGGGCCACAACCATGGTCCACCAGGGGACCACAACCATGGTTCACCAGGGGGCCACAACCATGGTTCACCAGGGGGCCACAACCATGGTCCACCAGGGGGCCACAACCATGGTCCACCAGGGGGCCACAACCATGGTCCACCAGGGGGCCACAACCATGGTCCACCAGAAGACCACAACCATGGTTCACCAGGGGGCCACAACCATGGTCCACCAGGGGGCCACAACCATGGTCCACCAGGGGGCCACAACCATGGTCCACCAGGGGGCCACAACCATGGTCCACCAGGGGGCCACAACCATGGCCCACCAGGGGGCCACAACAACCATGGTCCACCAGGGGGCCACAACCATGGTCCACCAGGGGGCCACAACCATGGTCCACCAGGGGGCCACAACCATGGCCCACCAGGGGGCCACAACAACCATGGTCCACCAGGGGGCCACAACCACTATGGTCCACCAGGGGGCCACAACAACCATGGTCCACCAGGGGGCCACAACCATGGTCCACCAGGGGGCCACAACCATGGTCCACCAGGGAGCCACAACCATGGTCCACCAGGGGACCACAACCACCATGGTCCACCAGGGGGCCACAACCATGGTCCACCAGGGGGCCACAACCATGGTCCACCAGGGGGCCACAACCATGGTCCACAAGGGGGCCACAACCATGGCCCACCAGGGGGCCACAATAACCATGGTCCACCAGGGGGCCACAACCATGGTCCACCAGGGGGCCACAAACATGGTCCACCAGGAGGCCACAACCATGGTCCACCAGGGGGCCACAACCATGGTCCACAAGGGGGCCACAACCATGGCCCACCAGGGGGCCACAATAACCATGGTCCACCAGGGGGCCACAACCATGGTCCACCAGGGGACCACAACCATGGTTCACCAGGGGACCACAACCATGGTCCACCAGGGGGCCACAACCATGGTCCACCAGGGGGCCACAACCATGGTCCACCAGGGGACCACAACCATGGTTCACCAGGGGGCCACAACCATGGTCCACCAGGGGGCCACAACCATGGTCCACCAGGGGGCCACAACCATGGTCCACCAGGGGGCCACAACCATGGTCCACCAGGGGGCCACAACCATGGCCCACCAGGGGGCCACAACAACTATGGTCAACCAGGGGGCCACAACCATGGTCCACCAGGGGGCCACAACCATGGTCCACCAGGGGGCCACAACCATGGCCCACCAGGGGGCCACAACAACCATGGTCCACCAGGGGGCCACAACCATGGTCCACCAGGGGGCCACAACCATGGTCCACCAGGGGGCCACAACCATGGTCCACCAGGGGGCCACAACCATGGTCCACCAGGGGGCCACAACAACCATGGTCCACCAGGGGGCCACAACCTCTATGGTCCACCAGGGGGCCACAACAACCATGGTCCACCAGGGGGCCACAACCATGGTCCACCAGGGGGCCACAACCACCATGGTCCACCAGGGGGCCACAACCACCATGGTCCACCAGGGGGCCACAACCACCATGGTCCACCAGGGGGCCACAACCATGGTCCACCAGGAGGCCACAACCATGGTCCACCAGGGGGCCACAACCATGGTCCACCAGGGGGCCACAACCATGGTCCACCAGGAGGCCACAACCATGGTCCACCAGGGGGCCACAACCTCTATGGTCCACCAGGGGGCCACAACAACCATGGTCCACCAGGGGGCCACAACAACCATGGTCCACCAGGGGGCCACAACCATGGTCCACCAGGGGGCCACAACAACCATGGTCCACCAGGGGGCCACAACAACCATGGTCCACCAGGGGGCCACAACCATGGTCCACCAGGAGGCCACAACCATGGTCCACCAGGGGGCCACAACCACCATGGTCCACCAGGGGGCCACAACCACCATGGTCCACCAGGGGGCCACAAACATGGTCCACCAGGGGGCCACAACCATGGTCCACCAGGGGGCTACAACCATGGTCCACCAGGGGGCCACAACCATGGTCCACCAGGGGGCCACAACCATGGTCCACCAGGGGGCCACAACCATGGTCCACCAGGGGGCCAC